AGATATATATATCTTGCAAGTTTATATATATATCTAAAATATCTTGCTGTTATAGAACTACCAAAAAAAAATTTTGTCAGCAAAATTTACGCATGATTTTCCTTTTGTAAATATGTGAAATGTATGCAAGATCAAAATATACAGAGGAGTTGTACGAATAGAACAAAAAAACGCAAGATATTTTAGATATATATATATATATATATATATATATATATATATATATATCTTGCAAGTATATATATATATAGTTTTTATCCTTATTTTACAATCACTTTATAAGATTCTTTAGCTAAATCTCAAATATTCTCTCGTATATACAATAATATAATTATTAAAAATATTTGCTAACATAAGTTCAATTTTTTTGCATAGGCAAAGTATTCTTTGGTACTTTCCTATAAATTCCTAGAATACCAGAATCTTTTTTGCAAACTTTCTTGAGCTTAAGTTTGAGTAGACTATTAGATAAACCAGAAATATGTTCCTTCTGTTTTATCTTCTTCTCATCCATTTTTCTGTATACCTTCAATTTCTTGTAATTTAACTTCCTATTTTTAGGTGGAACTACACCCAAGCTGATGGCGAGTTCAACTTTTGTTTTTCTTGCTTTTTCTTTTCCAAAACTAGTCATATCTAACTTAATAATATCATATCGTATCTTTTTCATTACTTTTTCTTGTTTCTTTCTTAATTCAGTTGAATCACTTTTTATTACAGAATTAATCAGATCATTCTTCTGCAACTTTTGCTTATTAACCAAACTATCTATTAATTTTGTTTTTTTCTTTGACGGAGACATAGTTTCCCTTAGTATGAGAAGCACGTGTTAATACAAAGTCTTCCATACTTTTATATACTAAAAACAGATTGTAATCAGAATAAGTTAGTTTTTGTAGATATTGTATGTATAATAAATTATGTATAACTTTAGAAAGATCTTAAAAAGTCTGGAAGTAATATGAAATAAAGTTATCTTTTTAAAACTGAAGTAAATTTTTTTAGAAAAAAAGACTAGTTTACACACATCACTTCCAATGTCGATGAAAAAATATTCAATCGACGCGTTTATTAAAAGCAAACAACTTTTCTACTTGGAAAAATCGTCGCTCTCTGCTGTGAAGCGAGATATTAATTGATAAAATTAATCACTATTAGGGCTATCGCACACAAATTGACATAACTGCATATGCATAGCATAAGACCGTATGTACCAATGAGCATCGAGTATTAAATCGCCATATTGGTGTTCGATGCTTAATATTCGATGCTCATTGGTCCATACGATCTTATGCTATGCATATGCAGTTATGTCAATTTGTGTGCGATAGCCCTTACGCTCTATGCACAATGCCAGACAACAGGCAATAGGAACAGAGAATAGGAAATTAGATTGGTCAATTATTTCTATTCCCTGTTCCTATTGACTAATATCTATTCCTATTGCCTATTGCCTGGCATTGTGCATAGGGCTTTAGGGAAACTATCACACTACACTGGGGTGCGTTCGAAAACACTGAAAGTCCACGACGGAAAATGGCTGTGGTTGATGGGCTTGGTGGGGTTAATGGAGTTAGTATCGAGAGGAGTTTTCGAACAGCCATGGAAGAATGCTCAATGTGACATACTACATGTGTGTTGTGCCTACATATGTGTTGTACAAAATGGCTGATCAAAAGCGTATTTCGACATTAGCTATAATTGCTTCTCAGCAAAATAATAATAAATTAATAAATTTAGTAATTAATTAGTTAATTTAGTAATTACTAATATATAATTTAGTTATTTGGAAAGTCAATTGGCTATATATTCCTCGATCCGAGAACTCGGATCGATTTCTAGCATCGTGGGCACCAGGCCTAAGGAAATTTATAAACTTATTTATTACTCCTTACCTTTAACATCGTATATATAGACATTTCCCTTGTCATCCTTTTGTATATTTTTTTTAATATCCATGCATAAAATATGACGACCCGGGATTAAATTTTCCATTTTTTTTCACAAATTGTTACTGATTCGTGACTTTTAACGTGCCTCGTATCTCGTAAGAAAATTTCAGAACCTATAAAATACAAAAAGCTTAATAAGCTTTATTTATATTTAAAGACAATATTCTGACAATATACATCACTATAGAAATAAACCTAAACCTGGCTAACCTACACTGCTGTATTTAAATTTTTTATCTTACCGTGATGGCTAATGGTTGTACGAATTGTTTCGAAGAACAAAAACCATAAATAATTTAGTAATTTCATACTGTATTGCACTCTTTGCGCACTCTCCACCATCTCCACCGATTCACACCGCGTAAAAGAGAGTGGAGAAAAGTCACACGAGTGGTCCACGGAGTACGGTTTTCGAACGGCCATGGTCGCATGATCAGTGTGCCCACTAGGGGTTTTCGAACGATCTGAGTGTGACAAAATACACACGGGTGATGTTTTCGAACGCACCCCTGAAAGGGTGGGACCCGATTGACCACGATACGATTGGACATAGATTGTAATGATTGGTTCGACCTAATAATTCACTAGACAATTATTTTCATCGGTTGGTTGTGTCCAATCGTACCGTGGTCAATCAGGACGCTCCTACACTGAAATATAGCTTTATTGGAAGGAAACATCCTGATTGACCACGGTACGATTGGACACCACCAACCGGTGCAAAGAATTATCTAGTGAATTGCTAGATCAAACCAATCATTTAGAGATTTAGTAAAGAGAATCGTCAACTTGGTCATGTGACCAGCTACTCAGCTACTCTGCGATTGGCTGGCATAAACATGTACGGATTTGGACATTGCGACGCCGATGCAAAACCATATATACATATATATAAATATAAGCATTTGTTCTGCATTGGCGTCGCAATGTCTAAATCTGTATATATTTATGCCAGCTAATCAGCTGGTCACGTGACCAAGTTGGCGATTCTCTATACTTGAGGTTTTCTACAATCATTATAATCTGTGTCCAATCGTACCGTGATAGCTTCTATACACAGGACGCGGTAATGCTTACCGCGCGGCGGAAGTTCGCGCGACAGCCAATCAATATGCTGCTTTCCGTAATAACCTTCTAGCTCTTACGGAAAAACAACATATTGATTGGCTGTCGCGTAGACTTCCGCCGCGCGGCAAGCATTACTGCGTCCTGTGTGCAGGAGCCATGAGAGTGCGATTAGATGTAGCGCGGTATGCGGTATGCGGTACGCGGAAGTGGTAAAGTAACTAGAAACCGCGCGTGGTGAGCCGTGCCTGTTTTCTTCCTCCTATTACATAGAACAGAAACTTGCGCGGAAAAGCAACACGGGCTAGTGACAAATTCTCATTTGTTTTTATTTTCTAAAATGTATTAACTTATTTCTATGCACATTTTACCAATATTCTTATTTTTTCAACAAATTTACTTATTAATTGTATTTAAATCAATTCCATTTAAAAGTGTATAGAAATGAGAATTTATCATTTTCTAAAATGTATTAACTTATTTCTATGTACATTTTACCAATATTCTTATTTTTTCAACATATTTACTTATTAATTGCATTTAAATCAATTAATTCCATTTAAAAGTGCATAGAAATGAGAATTTACTAGCCTGTGCCGCTTTCGCGCAGTTTCTGCTCCATGTAATAGGAGGAAGAAAACAGACGCTTACCGCGCGCGGTTTCTAGTTACTTTACAGTGTTTCGCGTACCGCATACCGGGCTACATCTCATCGCATTTTTCCTCCTATTACATGAAGCAGAAACTGCGCGAAAAGCGGCACAGGCTAGTAAATTCTCATTTCTATGCACTTTTAAATGGAATTAATTGATTTAAATGCAATTAATAAGTAAATATGTTGAAAAAATAAGAATATTGGTAAAATGTACATAGAAATAAGTTAATACATTTTA